TATATATTACGATATTTACATTATTTTGTATAAAATTTTTTTTTTCTTTTTTTTTTTTTTTTAATGACATATTTACAATTGTGTAATTACTGTTGTACAATACAATTTATTTTAAGTATCGTTTACAGTGCGAAGTATTGTTTGAATTTATTGACAATTGTATTTTGTTGGGATCAATCACTCTTTGTAGCGTCCTTCGTATTAGGAGAGCAGAAGATAACAGGGAGTTACGCGTCTCAAAAGAAAGAGCAACAGTGACATTCTGTTCGTAGTATGTACTCCTGGTATGAATGGACAGTTTATGCCCTCTTTTGAATCAATTTATCCTTCTTTCTCGTACTCATATTTCGGAGTGTTAATTTTAACTGCACAGTATTTTATGAACATTTAACGGACAAAATGTTATCTCGTTTAAACATTTTCTTAATAAACATATTGCACGTTAAACGATCTGTATTTATTTATTTCAAATACGACGTGTTTAAATATTTGTATTTTGCAAGTAGAAATATTGCAAACATGATGGATCGCGTGCATGCGCAAAACATCGACTGTTCTGTAATGTTTAATAATATAGTGAAAGCGCGCGTTGAAATTGAAACGGAGCGCGGTTCATTGTGGGTTAGGAGGTGATATCCGATTAACGATCATAGACGGTGCAGCATATTCAAACGTGGAATAAATGAATTAATTTATTTTACAGAAAAAACGTAGGAAAGAGGTGAAACAAGATGAAAATACAACCAATGGACTGTCCTTCGACGATGATGACGACGATGACAAACTCCGAGATATGGCAAGACGGTTCGAGGCGAAATATGTATGTAAAATGTAATTTAAAAAAACTTACTATGAATATCGAATATGTTAAAATCTATTCACTATGTACTACTCGTTCCATTCTTACAGGGAACATCTACTATAGGAAAGAAGAGGCATAAATATAATGATTATGTAGATTTGGGTGCTGGGTATGATGAAAATGATTCTTTCATCGACAATACTGATGCGGTATGTAATATATTTAAGTGTTATTATCTTTAACGATGCGTATTTTATAATAATATACTGTGTTTTATTTCTATTTATTTTAGTATGATGAAATTGTACCAGAAGAGATGACCACAGCACATGGTGGTTTTTATATCAATTGTGGAGCTCTTGAGTTTAAAACAGCAGAGCGACATTCATTAGTTCACAATAATAATAACAATAACCAGAGTAATGATGAGGAAAGTAGCGAAAGTAGTGAAGAAGATACAGAAGATGTAGATAGTCCCAAAAGATCAGACAAACGACATATTAGTTCATCGGATGAAGATGATACTGAGGATATTACTGGTGATCAACCAAGAAAAGTACAAGGAATTTTAATACGGTGTAATTTACCTCTCTGTTGTTATCTGCTAAATGTTTTTATTTACTTTTTATAGAAGCAAAAGATAGATGAAAATGGTGAAAAGAAACAAACTAACGAAAATGTCATTAAAAAGAAGAAACAACCAAATCCCCAAGATCAACAGAACTCTCAACAAGATGGAGATACCTTAAATAGACGAAAAGAGAAAGGAGAAACTACAGATGCAGAAGGTGACATAGTTGCATAAGATAAATTCTTAAAATAATTGGAATGTTATTGTAACGTAGTAAGGAGAGTAAAATGCTACAATTGTGAACAATTTTTATAATTGTAGTTTCAGAAGATCAAGAAGACAAGAAGAAATTAGATACACAGAAAATAGATACGCAAAAAAGTAAAAGTACATCAGATAAAAAATTTGATATAAAAAAGTTTGAAAAAAAGACTTCGAATAGTAATGGTTTTGATGGAAAGAAATTAGAACTAAAAAAATTAGGTTGTAAAGATAGTAATATTGATGATGCAATAGAGAGTGTAGTTAATGCTGCAAGAGTTGAGGATGAATCAAGTAGAGATACAACAGATTCTGGCAAATCTCGTTGTATAGGTACAGAATCTGAATGTGATGATATTGATAAAGAAGGAGCACCATTGCCTGATTCTCTTCCAGAAAATGTTGTAGAAATAGTTAATAAGTTGAAGGCACGTGCCGAAAACAGTAAAGAAGGAAAGACTAAATTTTTCAATGCATCAGTAAATACGTTATTGTTTAGGTAAGTAATTGTGATACAATATTTTATACTTCGTAAAAATAAACATTAGATTTTTTATTTCAGTCTAGAGAAGAGGTTGAGGATGCTTTCACCTCAAAGTTTAAGGTTAGAAACGTATGGACATCTCGCACGATTCTTACCATGTAGTAAAGTAGCACTTCAAAATAGAGCAAAAAAATTGTTTGTGCAGGACCTCGAATATAAGACTAAGGATCTTATACAAAGGTAGTCTCATACACTATCATGCTTGCTGAAGGAAAGTAAGTACTTTTTACAAATTTTTTTTATGTCAATTAGGGACCACTGGTAATTAATAAAGAGAATTAGATTAGAGATAACATTCTTGTGATTTTGAAACATAAATTATGTGCTTGTAAAACGTTGGATGGGAACTTACTATACTTTTTTATTTCTTAGTCCTCCTATATACTGGAAAGTATACCGGTACTGTTGGTAAGGTGTCCCTCATAAGAGGAAACCTTTTCTATTTTCACCTTTCCAATTATTCTTTATCTTCCTTTTCTTCGACTTTTCTAGTTCTTCCTACTCTTGTTCATGCTTACATATATCTGCTATATTAATGTTTTATGCCCTTAATGGATAATTTTGATATCGTCATATATAAGGAACGAACAACCTTTTTTAATTTTTCTTTTTTTATTGCTCTTATTGAGATAGCGGAAAATACGGGGCTTTTTATCATCAGTATCAGTGTTTAGTTTTTCATAAGCATCATCCTTTTTGTCAAGCAATAAAGTTTTATGTTTACTGGAACTCAATTTAATGACTACATGTACACTGTTACATATACTTTTATCTAGGAATTCATAATACATTCTTACACAGGAGTTTTCCAGATCATGGAATTTTATCACGATAAATGCTGATCATCCTTCTTTATCATCGCCGTGTTAAATTCTTTACAATTTATCTTACTTTTCCTTATTTACTTTTATTTCCATTTCAGTGAAATGGAGGGATCGCCTGAAGATATTGAAAGTTCCGATGATGAAGATGTTTGTGAAGATATAGATGAGTCTGAAATTCCTAAAAAACGATTCCCTTGGACCGAAGAAGCGAAGTAAGTTTTTCGAGCTGGACTTTAGGCACATCTTGAACAAGAAAGTTCGTATACTATTGTTATTTTTTTTGTATAGAAAACTTGTTGCTGAAATTGCAAGTTCGAGGATTCAATGTTATAATGTTTTGAGACCAAGGAAATTAAGTATGTACTCTTTTGTTGGATCATATATGGTTGATGAAGTATTACCATTATGGCCCCATAGATATATGACAGCGCACGCTTTATTAAAGTTTGTTGGAGAAGCTGAACCTATGTAAGTAGTATTCTAAATTTAGAATAACTATAATTTTATTTTAGGAAGTGTATAGTATAATAAAATGATCTGATTTCAGCTTGAAAAAGAAATCGAAAAAGTTAAAAGAGGTTGGTAATGGTAATACCGCTAGTTCTGAAAGTGCGATATTCAATTCTGCAAGGACTGAACCATCAAGTATAAGTGCCGCTTCTTCGCAAGAAAAAGTTATAGCAAGTGCGTCTAAAATTCAAAATATTACGGAAAATTGTACGAGTTATGTAAAACAAGGAACTACAAAATCAAGTGATAATATAGAGAAAAAACAACATAGTATAAAAAATAAGGATAAAATTAAAGATATCAATTTGGGACAGCACCATGAAAACTTGGCAATTGCGTCTAGCAATTGTGGCAATTCCACTCTAGGAAAAATTTCTGTTGTGCCTACGGCTCAGTTGATGGCTCAAAAACCAGTTAAAAGTCATGTGGAGATCAATTTGATGGATTTAGGTAATAGTTCTCTTTCTATTACACCGGTTAATGATTTTCACAAATCATCTACGAAGATGAATGAAAATAAAAAAGATGTTGTTTCTATTACCGCTTACTCTGAAACTGCAAATGTTCTTCCAAATACAAATGAAGTGCCTCAAAGTGGACATCATTCCGTACACAGACAGGAAGCTTCATATTCATGTACACAATCACAACATTCTAATTATTCTACATCTAATCAAGCTTCTTCTCATTCGAAACCTGTATCTTTAAAACACAGACTACTACACGAGAACACTGATACAAAAAATGATAAGAGATTAGAAGATAAAGATATTGATTTGCTTATTAAGACTGAAAAAAGGGATAAAAAGCGAGAGCGATGTGTGGAAGTTAAACATAAATCGCACGACGTTAAAAAAAGGAAAAAGGATCAAAAGGTATTAGATAAACAATTGGGACATGTTAATTCAGATGTAGTGCCTATACAACAACAACCACAGCAGCAGCAGCAACAGCCACAGCAGCAGCCACAGCCACAACCACAACCACAACCACAACCACAACAACAACCACAACCACAGCCACAGCCGCCACTTTCGAAAGAAGAGCAGGAACAAAGACAAAACGAAGAAACAATTGCTGCTACTAATTACTTAAGTCAAATCTTTAATGATGATGCATCTCCAAGAGGAATGTCGGATAAGCGAAAAGATGCGGGACTTATCTTAGAAGAACCAGTGGGTAATATGATACAACCAACCGAACAGGAAAAAGACGTTCAAATGGTGATGAGATCGTTAAAGGAATTGCAAGAATTACAAGAAATGAAGTATTCACCGAATAATTCACCAGTTAGTAGTAATATACAGAAACCTAACAAGTCGAATACACAATGTGCTACTTACCAAGATGAATATTCACGCTTATATCTAAAAAAAGACATTAAACTAAAGTCTAAAGAAGATTCACAATGGTAATATCAAACAATGTGCACTATAGACGTAAATTATGTTGAACAGGATGGAAAAGCCAGTGAACAGATAATAATTTCATAGAGACCTATAGGCGGACTTTTCAGTAAATCTGTATTATTTTTGATGAGAAAAAAAAAAATTAGTGTGAAACTGAACTTCTTCCATTACTACAAGTCGCGTTATTATCGACGACCAAAACCATATGCAACTGATAAATAGCGTACCGCGATCGCATTGTATCGCACCAGTTTTTAAATATTTTAACAAACCGCCAAATTGTGTAAATATATTCATTCGTAGGAATTTGAAAATGCGCGTGTACAGAGTAAGTATAAATTATGGAAGTATATTAATCATATAGACACTTGTAAATAAGTTAGCGTCCATTCATCGCCGTGAATGGGGTGGTTTGTGAAGATCCATTTTTTATTTGACGGCGTATTGCTGCTTGACAATTTTAATACAGATCTACCAACAACTGAAAGTTATTGGTACGCGATGGGTCGTGTACTAACACAACGTTGTTTTATCAAAAGTAAAACGGAAACCTAATTGTGCTTCTTTTAATTTTATGTACTGCCAGGATACAGGGAGGGGTGGATTAATAAATTTATTTTTTATAGTACCTAACAATACCATGGCCACCCTGAATCACCGAGCGAAAAAGAATGTTTCGAACGGTGTTCCTTTTGCGCACGAACGGCAATTTTGATTTTGTAATATAATACAGAAGAAAATGGTAATTTGTATGTCTGTGTCTTTTTGGCGTATATTCGGAATTAAAATCGTCTGCCTTCCAAATTGTTCACTTGTAACAGTCATATAGGCAAGTCATCTAATTCACTTTATCGCACGCAAAATGGATGTTACAGCAAAATGGCGAAATGCCGTACATCTTTATACTATTTATAAAAAAAAAAAAAGAAACGAGAAATAAAATGAAACATGTGTTTAATGCATTTAAGCATATATACTGAACGTTTTTAGAAACTTCAACTGAAATAGTTATTGCGATTACAAAATTGTGCTTACAAATTACAAATCTGTATAATTGGTACGCGGCTTGACTAAACGGTTAATTTTAATAATCGGAGTGCAAGAGCGAATGTGCGTGAAAGTACTGTTTAGAAAGAGCTACGATATTTTTGGAACACAAAGATGATTAGTGATTGTATTATATACCATATACCCTTTTCCCCTCCCATCTTACCCTTACGATACTTAGAGTATGGTTAAGCGTCTTGTACAATTCTTCACCGAGAATTTCCACGAAGACGACTTAAAATATAAGTTTTGAATATTTTTTACAATATCTATATATTTCTTACCTTTACCTTTGTCCGAAAAAGAACTATATTGCAGATGTGCCTCTAACAATATTCGTAAGTTGTAAATATTATACGATATACGAATAATTTATTTCAAACTTTTTTTTTGTATTATTTGTAAGTTTTAACGCAATTAAAAAGATTTTAACATAATGAATGTTTTAAACAGAATAAAATTAGAACAAAAATAAAGATGACACAAAGTGTTTCTATTATTACTAGTTCTCAATAAAGTGCATTAATTATTTACGATGTAGTAGTTTCAGTTTATTCGTTTTGCTTCTTTGTTCGATGGGCTAATTCTTAATGTGTAGAACCGAAAACTCTTGAAGGTCGTTCCTTAACTATCGATCCTACGGATCTTTCGATCTGTGTACACAGGATGCATTTAGTTTTGTCGCTGGAACAAGGTCGTTTGCTTCTATATAATTGAGCAAACTCCATGGAACAAGAAACTCAATATCATATACGTTTGCTTTCGAAAACATGTCGACTTTAGTTTGGCATATTGTGTTTTTGTTTGTTGTTCGACATAGTCTCTGTGCTTCCGATTCGATTGTTCCCCAGAGTAAGGTGCAATCGATATCTTCTTTGTCGGACAGTATCGAGAAAAAAATCGATACCGAGCACGTAACATTTGACGAGGAGAAGGCGAATAAAGAAAGCAACTCTGCTTATAACACAGGGCAACTAGGATTTAATGAACGCAAGCGGGATGAAAAGAGATACGACGAGCAGGATACAGCTCGTAAAGGGCACGGCAAAGGAAGGCATAGTTCAGGAGAATCTGAAGTCGTCGATCATGAGAAGAATTCTTTTGAAAGGCATGGCGGTGGATATTACAAAAAAGGGCATCACAGGACCGGTTTTAGCAACAACTACCATAAAGACGAGTCGGGAAATAATTCAAGCTTTTACGAGGACAGCGATGACGAGGGGGGCCATAGGTCGTCAGGGAATAGTGGTGGTTATTACGGGCAAAAATCACAGGACACGTTTAGAGACGGCAGATAGGGTAGATAGGGCAGAACAGGGAATATATGACAATAAGCAAAAGTAAGTGTACCAAGTGTATAGTATGTTACTATGTGTCCAGTGTACAGTAACTAAACCGAGAATATGTATATGTATATGTATAATTTGTACGATGTAATTACTCATTTTATGTATACGAGAGTAGAATATGAAAAAATTGAAATATCGTTTTGTCTTATATTAGTTTTAATGGTTATTACGATCGCATCGGAGGTTATAATAATGATCGATACAAAGAAGATAAAAGAAACTATCTGAGAGATGAAGCAATACGTTCCTTCGATAAGAATGGCGGAGAGATATATTATCATAGAGAAAAGTATCATCCAATTATTTATCGTAATAACGATCATATACCGTCATTCGGATATTCAGGTTATTACGTAGATACATTACCAGGGGGCTATTATAGAGAAGATCCCATCGTTATACCTCGTTCAAGAGATTATCGGTAATTCCATATTATCGCTAAGACTGTATTACATCAGTTGAATTGTATCGAACACGTAATTGTTAACAATTTGTTTATTCTCAGATACTTTCCACATCGACGGAGGAATTATGACCAAAAGTTATACTACCCTCGTAGGGGGTATCACGAAGGAAGTTATCAAGACAATTTTTATGACAATAGACGTTTGAGCAAATACAGAAATGCTTTTCATAACGGATACTATGGATTTTAAAATATAATTTTATAATGTAACAAATGCAAAAAATACGATGATTAAAATGTGAATTTATACATCTAATAATAAAAATGTGTTTTACGTTTATATTTGTTCCGAACAGTTTTAACTTTTGATGTTCATTGCAATATAGAATACACCAGAATGTCCACCATCAGCATGAATATAGGGTACGACAAAGCCTCTGCAACTTTATTGCATTCATTATGAGAACGGCACCTTAACTTTGATAACTTTGCGGTGATCATAAATTTTATACGAAGATGTTTTTTTTAATGAAGTCGTTTGTAACTTACGAGTGGTATTTGGTTGCATATTTACGGTGTTATCGTAGAAAGTAAAATGCAGCATGGTTAAATATACGTTAAAAGCGTTCGTACAAGTCCGTACGATCCAATTATATTGAGGATCAAGTTGAGGCTTTTCGCTCATGGTGCAATATTTTTGAAATTTTTCGTCACAATAGTCTTGATTGTCATTGACAATTTTGAAGTCAAATAATGATTTAGATGAAAAATTTTGTATAAAAAAAGATTTTAATTACATGGTTATGTTTGAAGTGACATCCTGTTTAAGAATAAACGGAAATTTCAAATGTTTGAATTTTCAAAAATTTGAAATACGTTCTACTACTTATCGACCGTCAATCTTAAAGAAGTTGCATAGTGTTTCGTCATATTGTCGCGAGTGGCGCTGTTATCAGCGATCGTGACGTAATACGAAATACTCGACAGTCAGAGGTCTGGGGGTCTGCTGTATGACCTTGCAGTGTTTGTAAACAGACACACGTTGCCGTTGCAAAGTGTTGAAGACAAGACGGAATCGCAATCGAACAAAGCGTGTCGCGAAGGATTCTCTTCAAGAACTTCGAAAAGAACTAAATTCGCAACAGTCATGGAGGTGGAGCCGATGTGTATCGTGGAAAATGAAACGGTGAGTAGACAATTTGTGGAAACGATGAAGTGACAACGTGCTCGCGTGATGCAAACTGCCATGAAAAGTAGGCAACAAGATTACGCGCGTTAAACAGATTACACCATGTTGTGCAAAGAGGGCGCGCTTACAAAATGTCGGGTTTTTCGGACTGTATATTAGTTTCGAATTGATGACAAAGGGCGTTGTTTCTTTCGTTTGACGTCAGGACCTGTAAGATCGAGGGTTTGGCAAGGGGTCGTGGGGTAGGGGGGACAAGCAGAACTGAAGGGTGGCTGTTTGCTTGTGTGCGCTCCTTCGTGGTGTGTTCGTATAGCAGAGCTGACGTTCGATGTCGCTGTTTCCCGTTTCGTACTTTCGCATTTTTGTCGACTGATCGCGCCACGTGTCGGTGGTTTTCGTTCCCTCGATCGTCGAGTGATGACGTTGCTGTCTGTAATCAGTCATGTGACCATCAGGCGCGGAATATATTGGAGTCCGTTCCGATAAGAGATCGCGCGGTAGTTAACGTTCTTATATACATTTATTATGCAATTAACTATACGAAATTTCACGGTTCTCTTGGAAGTAAAATGAGAATTACATCGTCAAGGTTTGTAACTTGTTGTTGTTCTATCTATTTAACGGATAATGTCCTACTACACTAAGAAGTTGAACACGATGGTCGCTATAGTTCGATTCGGAAATGCTATATTGTAAAGTATTCGCTATGTTATCACAGGTTACGGTTGTTATCTCTGTTCCCATAACGCATAAACAACACTGATTGCGTTAACTGAAGAGTAGTTATTCGCTATTGCCTAACTGATTCTATCACCAATTCAGTGTCCAAACATTTAATTATCGAACCTTCGCGTAATACGAATATTCCTTTAAATGCCTAATCAAATAATCATTTATACAACGTAATTCACAATTGGAGATCTTACAAATGACGAGCTATTACGAGATAAAAAGTGCAACTATAATTTATCCGTAACGAATTAACACGAAACTCAAGTTTAATTATTTCGATCGAATTATCCCGTTCTAATGCGTTCGTAAAATGAGGCACGCGACTTGCTCGTTGATTCGAAGTAATTTTAAAATCAGTGTCGTGAGTTTCTGTAAATCGCCGTTACGCGTCGCGGTTGTCTTTTAATATTACCGGTTGCACCGTTCGGGCACCGGTACCGAGCACCACGTCCCTGAACACAGCGTTTTAGCCCGTCAACTGCGCAGTTGACACAGCTCGCACGTCGCGTAGCACCGGTGAGTTTTCTGTAGACACATTTTACTCGCTTTTTTCCTTTATCTCGTAGCCTCTTGGACCCCGTCCCCTTTACCTGCATACCTCTACACGTTCATCTCCCTTGAGTCAGCCGTGAAATTAGCTCCGTTTTCCCTGAACGCTTTATATGCACACCATTTTCGAACGATACCCTGTTGATTCTATCCCGGTTCAGTCGACAGTACGTACACACGCATTTTCGCCGGTATACACCGTGATCGTCGATACACGGTCGCGCGGATCGTTTTAAATTCCCCGAGTACTCGACGGATCCATTTCGTCGTGGTTACGTTTGAAATGCCGGTCGATCGTGCTGACTACCGTTAGACTTTGTCGCCCACACGCGACGCTACTGCGCAATTCGGCGGTACGCATCCATTGCGAGGGAAAACTGTGCCGTTAATACACGAAAAACTCCGCTAGATGCGCACCATCTTATGAGAAGGCTGTTCTCTCTCACCACGTATATTACCACTTAGACGATAAATGCTTTTGCGTTTCAACCATTTCGCGCATCTTTCTGTGTCTCGTGACCCACTTGACGTCTAATCCTAGTCCAACCTAACCGTCCAATCAAATTTCACGCCACTCGTGTTTTCCAGCTTTCCTAGTGTTTGAAAATATTTCCACGTAATTGGAGTAGGATGACCTGGATACTTAGCGTGCATAAGTAACACAATCGAACTATCGTTGCTCGTTCGTATGTAACAATTGTAATCGTAGAATTCCTTTTACACTTCTAACCATCTCACAGCCAATTAGAATTTCTTCTAATTTCGATACTATCGAAACGTAATCGTTGCACTCTGTTTCTTTCGATCTTGTTCGAGCGTGCGTAATCGTTTCTCCTTCGATTCTCTATTCCTCGCGATTGCCTCGCCAAATAAGCAGAACGTAGAGTCGACATATTCCATTGGCATTACTTCGTTACCTCGCAGCTAGATCCGTAGGATTTACATTCCGGTACGAAGCGTGTTTGCAAACACTTTTCGGATCGGGACGTGCCTCGTCTGACGGTTACGAGAGGAGGCTCGATAGGAGGAGCCTAGTTGTTTGCTCCGCGTCACTGATAAGTATCGAATCGCGTTTACAAAATCAGCGTATATCACGAAAATATTCCGGCCGGGGAGTAATAGGGCGGCGGCGAAGGCTCGGATGGGAAATTCTTGGCAAAGGAGAATGCGGTTTCGTGGCGGCCATTAAAGGGACCGAAAGAACGGTGCAATTTTCATAACGTTTCCAGCGTGTTTCCTACTATTTATTGTTTGCAATCTGTGTAAATCTGTCGTATGCGTAGAATTTGCGATTCGTGGTAGTGGAATGCTCGGTTAGAACAGATTCTCGAGCGTACCAGCGGGAACAATTTGCAATTAGACGAAAAGAATCGCGTTTAGAAAGTGTTTAAATACTTGGAGATGGTAATTTATTCGGAAAATAAAGTCACCCGTAGATCCTCAGACGTCTCCTACACGATCGTTAGGAGATGAATTGCCGGTAGGTGGAAGGTGTTTCGCAGGTAATCTCACCCGGTCATTGTCACTTCTATCCGCGATCTCGATACGCGTTTGCGAAGCAATCGAAGCGTGGCGAATGGGAACATCGTCGCGGCAGATGTTCCTTCGCCCCTGTAAATCTCTCGCGACGGTTGCTTATCGATACGGCAGAGAGCATTCACGTTTCACTCGATAGAAAACTTTATCTCGACTTTCGTACCGTAAATCCTCGTAAACTTGTTACATTTTCAAACTTATTACGTCACTTACGATATCGTTACCTATGGAATTCTGCGCTGTAAGTTCACCGTGGATTTCAATAATTCGCTTGGAAACGGAGAAATCGATCAATTTGCGAAACGGTTAGAGTGATTCGTATCGTTATCGAAAGAAACGTGTCGGGGAAAGAATTTTTTCCATGTTAAAGAGCGGGAACGTGGGAGCGTTTGAAAGTCAACAGCGGCAAGTTAGGTTAGGTGAGAAACGGAAAGTTTCACCGACGAATTTAACGCGGGAAACGAGGATGGCCGCGCGCACACGCGAATTTACGGGATTTTCGTCGGTGGTGGCGCTTTGCCATTGTACTCGGCAAACCACCCTCGTTCATTGTTACGCAGCGGCGGCGGCGGCGTTGGTGGCGCGGTTGGAAAATTACGAGCTTCCTTCGCCTCCTCCTTCCTCTTTCTCCGTTCCTCATCCGGTCGCGTTTGCTTCTCCGGCGAACAATGACGTGGAAAAGCCCAAGGAGGCTTTTACGCGCGTCCCTGGTGTCGCGTCGTTCTTTTTTTTTTCTTTCCTCCTTTTCTTCTCCATTCGCACCTGCTCGCGCGACTGCCGCGTTTCTATCATCCACGAACGCCACTTCAGTTTCGTATAAGCACTCGCTGTTGACGTGTCTTTTTTAGAATGTTTTTGCTCGAAGGAAAATTTAAGAAATAACGTTGGAACATCTTTCGTATGTATTAACTACTTGTTTTGTGAGCTTTTTGATGGGTGTTTCTTTTAAGGTTAGGTATTCGTTGATTTAGTAATGTTTCTAGTGGAAATTTTATATTTCATTTTAGTGACTTTTTTTTTTTTTTGGTTAAAATGGCTCAATTTTAGAGTTACTTTTTGTAGATAGCTGAAAATTAGTGATTTTTCAGATATATCACTTTTCGAACAAATCGAGGATATGTAAAATATTCGTCATGTTATATCGAGACGTGAATCATCAATAAATTCAATACTTGTAAAAATAATACAATTGTAATTTGAAATTTAGCTCACTTCTAGAGTGATATTTCGTAGATATCTGAAAATGATCGATTTTCGAGACATATCACTCTTCTAGCAAATCGACAGTGTTCCATAATATTCGATAAGCTATACCCAGACGAGAATTGTTAATTCGTACAACAGTCGGGGCGATACTTAATATCCTTCGATTTGTGTACATCGATTTTTCACAATGCGCGAGAGTCGCGCGCGATTCCGTGGAAAAAGGCGCCTCCCGTCCAAGTCGCCACTTCCTCTCTCGCGAGAGATTCACTTTGTATGTAGGTCATCGTTGAAAGAGCGCCGGAGGATCCGTGCAACCTTCGGCGAACGGAGGTAATAATAAGGTTGTGGCGCCTGGTGAATCCGGTAACTGCGTTGCACGCTCACTCGACGCTTTTGCGCTTTATAAGCGTATGTCGTAACAGTACCAAACAACACGAGCATTATTCTTTATATTGGAAATTCACAGGGTCAAATTTCAAACTTGCTCCGTCGTACAATTTATTAATAATACTCGCCTCGAGTATCGCCAGTCGAATGTTGCACGGTGTCGTAGTTTCAGATATCTACGAGATATCACTGTTGAAGTAGGCTAAATTGAATTTATTAATTTTCGTCTTTATACATGCAGTTTGTTGAATACTGTAGAATTTATTATCGAATATTATTTAATTTTATTCATTCTAATGTATCTAGGAAATATCGCTCTAAAAGTGAGCTTTATCTGAAAGAGCGTTACAGAAATTTCAATTGTAGCTTTTAACAAGGATTATGCCTGGACGTAGCTTCTTGAATATTATATACATGGTCGGTATGGTAGAAGCGTGACATTTCGAAAATCGTTAATTTTCTGCAAAATATCGGTGTGAAAGTGAGATATTTCTATCTGAAAGAGATAGAATTCAAATGAAAATTACAGTATTTAACGAGAGCAGTGTTTTAACTCTTTTTTGTAACAGTAAGCAATACACATAAAC